AACTTATAATATTTCCACATAAGCCTAGAGCTTCGTTTTTGAAACCTAGTAGTAGTCACATAGTCACTATGAACGGAGTTCCAATTTCCTGGTCAAACCAAGTGAAATATCTTGGATTAATACTTGACCAAAAATTAACTTTTAAAGATCACATTGAGGGCATTCAAGCCAAATGTAACAAATATATAAAATGTTTGTATCCTCTTATAAACAGGAAATCCAAACTTTGCCTGACGAATAAACTTCTAATATTTAAACAAGTTTTTAGACCGGCCATGCTTTACGCTGTGCCAATATGGTCTAGTTGCTGCACTACCAGGAAAAAAGCACTTCAAAGGATTCAGAACAAAATTCTCAAAATGATTTTGAAGTTGCCTCCCTGGTACAGTACTACCGAGGTACATAGAATTTCGAATGTTGAGACTTTAGCACAAATGTCCAACAAAATAATTAATAATTTCAGGCAAAAATCGTTGCAATCCTCAATTGCAACGATTAATTCCCTTTATACTTAGATAAGATTTAGTTTTAGTTTTTAGTTTTAAGATATAATTGTTATACTGACATGCAGGTTAAAAAACCTGTTTAAAATACTGAATTGCCAAGACATGAACAATGTAAAAACACTTAGATATATATCATAACAATTAAGGCTGGTACGTTACTGCAGTAACTGGAGCACCTAGGTTAAAATGAAATGTAATTTATTTTGAATTTGGAACAAATAAAGAGTTAAAAAAAAAAAAAAAAAAAAAAAAAAAAAAAAAATCGCGGCACACAACACAATTTCACACGTAATTAAAAATATTTTTTTCACTGCACAACAAATTGAACTACACTGTTTGCCATCACACAGAGCAATGAACCGGTAACCGGTACAAGGGGCTGTTGTGGCGAACATCCTCCCCCGCGTGTCGCCATAGCTTCCGGTTTGGCGTCAACAGAATTCTCCACGTACAGCACAGCCAGTTTCGCTGCAGGTCTTTTCAGAATCCCTCTTGATGTCAATACTTCTGCCCGGCGAACCACTCCATCTTTGCCTGGGATCACCCGAACTACTCGTCCTCTCATCCAACGGTTCCTTCCCGAAACCACTTTGTTCGCAGAGTGATGGTTGGCAGGTACTCCACTATCCAACGACGCCAAAAGTTATCCAGCGTATGTTGCACCAGATTCCAGCTATTCCGCAAGGCCATTCCATCGTCCGTCGGGGTTTTCTCAGGTTCACGAACTCCGTTGGAGCTTAACATCAAAAAATGATTTAGGGTCAAGGATTCGTGATCAGCCGTTTCCAAGGGGATGTAGGTAAGCGGTCACGAGTTCACCATACTCTTCGCTTCTGCTAACACGGTTGCTAGTGACTCCTAGCGCAGATTTTACGGCAAAACCATCCTTTACCAGTAACCACCCAGATCCCGATTCGCTCCGACGAAGTTAGTTCCGTTGTCGAAGTAGATTTCTTGGGGAGAGCCGCGCCGGGCAATGAATCTTCTTATCGCTTTTTTACAGTGATCCGTGGATAGACTGGCGACAACCTCGAGATGAATAGCCCGAATGGTGAGACATGTAAATAGGCAAACCCATCGCTTCACTGCACTCCGTCCAATCCTGATTAAATATGGGCCGAAAATGTCCACTCCACGTAGGTGAAGGGGCGTACGAATGGTTCTAATCGTACCGCCGGTAGCGGTCCCATTTTCGGAATGACAGGCATCGCTTTGTACACGTGGCACCACATGCAACGTTTCCTGATTAGTCGCAGCTGAACCCTCAATTTCGGAACATGGAACTTTTGGCGCACCTCGTTGACTACCGTTTCATCATTTGCGTGTCGATATTTGCGATGGCAATAGTCTAACCACAAATCCGTAATGCGATGGTTCCTGGGTAGAATTATAGGAAACTTCGCAGAACTCCGAACTCCTCTGGTATTTCCCCCACTTGGTTGCTTCGTCTGCTACGTTGACCTTGGTTGAAATCCATCTCATCGACGCTCGATAAACTGAGTATTTCGTCGACTCTGAAGGCCACGAATTGCTATACCGGCAAGACGAAGAAGATGCAAAAAGTGTACACAGATTGCGAAGTAGCCAGGGGTGATTGGGTGAAACAGACTAAGGCAGAGTTCCGGTAAATCGTCGTTAGACAGACGCCTGTGCCAACATCTGTAGATGACAATCAACGTCAAAAGGCATCCGGCGTTGCGCAGGGAGTGCACTGCTTATCGACACCGAATAAGGTTTCGGAATCTGCTCTTCCTAAAACGTTTGGCGATGAATTAGAGGTGGAATCAATCCCAAGAACTGAAAGAAGCGTCACGATTGGCGAGGATTCGGAGGATTCTATCGAAGGTGCTCTTGGATTGGCCGTGGCAAACCTTGATAGAAAAGATCGAACCAATATGCCATTCGTCGATCTGAAGCCCTTCATCGAACTTCTCGAAGAAAATGACAGTATAGCGGCTATTTACTTCGAAGACCGGCGCAGTTCCGAAAGCGAAACGTATTGGCATACCATCATACGAAAAATTGAGCTCCGAAACCGGGAAACTTCGAAACCAGCATGCAGTCTAGTTGCTACGAAGCGTGGAGTATATCCAAGAGCTGAAGACGAAGTACGAGTTGGAGATGGAGGCAAGAGGTAAGCGAGAGCTGGAGCTGGTTAACCGGATAAAGGTTTGGCAAGCGCAGTTCGACGAGGAAACGAAGCAGATGCAGGGATCGGAAGAAGGTCAGCGTACTCAGCTCGAAAGTCGCGGTCGTCAGCTATCGGCGCTTCAGGACACCATCAAATACTTGGAAAACCAACACGTTGAAGAACTGCAACGGATTCGTCAATCGGAAGCGGATTTGCGGATTAAACTCGAGCATCGGAATCGGGAACAGGCAGCAATTGATCATTTTGTCAAGCTTCTGCATTCATGTTCCATCAGATGTCACAGCTGTTGTTTGCGGTGACATCTATCGGAAACTAGACACAATCTGTTTTCCTATAATTGTTCACAGAGGACACTGCAGTGCAAAACATGTCTGGTACCTCTATGCATGCATTTAGATTATTATTCGAAGTCCCTCCTTTTTTACACATTCTGCACACAAAATAGCTCACCCCTCACAGAATTTCCCGCCGAATTTTATGTAAGGGGCCGGGCATAAAGTATCTTTTGCGCAGAATATGTAAAAAAGGAGGGATTTCAAATGTTAAAGTAAATGCATATATAGAGGCACCAGACAAGTTTTGTAGTGTCAGGTACTATATTTTATAATCTGTGAAAGAGAAATCACAAATCGAGTGTCAACAAAATACATGGCATGTTGAGAGATTGAGGTTGTGAGAGCAAATTTTCTCTCCTAAATTTGAATTTTTGGCTCTCTGGGAACTGGTAGTAAAGCAGGTAAAACTGTATGGGGAAAAATCATTTTTATTTAATTGTAGCTTGTTTAACAATAATTTCCGGGAAAAAACTGAACGACAAAGTCCCTGATTATTTTCTTTAGGTTGTCGTTCACTTTTTTTTACCTGTATATGCACCGAAAGCGAATTATTCCCACTTCTCTCAATTTCTATATCGGGAACAGCGCCATCTCTGTAGAAAATGGTCGAACAAAATGATTAATTCAGAGGCATAATGCAGAGCTAGAGAGTGAGATCCAGCGTCTGCGGGCTACGGAACAACAGTTGCAGTCCCAACTTGTAGTCACTTGTCAACGGGAGGAAAAAGCGATTCGTCTGCGAAGTAAAGCGGAGAAGGACTACTGGGCGTTACGTGACGAAGTTCAGCAGTTGGAAGATGTCGCTCAATCACGTAACGAAGGTCAATCGTCGGTAAGTGGCAACAATAGTCCATCATTAGCTTACCCAAACATAAGTTGTGGAATACCTAGGGTAGATAGTTCAGGGAACAGCATCATACTCCATAAATGTGTTAACCGCCAAGGAAACTCCACTTATGTAGAGTTACACTTGTCATACAAAAATCAATAAGTTCCCAGTACCGTTCTCTCTTATACAAGAGTAACCGAAATTAGAGTCGAGCAAGATAGTATATTGAAATTGCATGATCAGACATTGTGCATTGAATGTTTTTCAGAGGTAATTTGACGTACTTCCGGCCACGATGACCATTGAAGTCACACCTATCTGAGGATTTCTGGAAATTCTACTCGTTCACTTTGACTTGAACCGTGGAAAAGGCGGAAGTGCGAGTATTTTGTACTTAAGTGTACTTAGTGTCGCGGTGTGTTTGTCGTGTATGTCCGTGAAGACTGAGTTTAATGTTGCATTTCTCGTTCCTCTAAAAATCTCTTAAATAAAGCTTTAAAAAAATCTCGTTCCTCTCCGTTAGCCAGTCAGGGGTGGGTGGTATAGCTAGGGATAAATTGATAAATTGGAACAAATTGCTTACTAGATTACACCTCCCCTCAATCTGATAATCCTATAGATATCCTGTTCCTAAAAAAATAGACCGCCTGTTTTAGGTGCCAAAATTATGAATAAGTTTTTAAATTTGAGGTATGATCCGTATACTGATTCAGCATCCAAAATCAAATTATAAAATTTTGTGGAAATCATTGCCTATTGAATGCTTCGCATTACTCAATTGAACACATGTCACTACGCTTTATGTGGGAGTTGTTATAATCCTGACGATCAATTAAGCATTAGCATAAGAATTTTGAAATTAAAACAGTTATACACGGAAACAGATGGCAGAATTTATAAATTTTATCTGCAAGCTCGTATCAGCAGGAAACCTAAATGTACATCCATTTCAACATACCATTTCCGTCACTTATGCAAACACGCCTCTGTAACCCTCACACTCCCGGTTCGACACCCAAAAAACAAAGACCAAAATCAGCAAAGCACTCCCATCTATCATAGGCATTAGGCAACGCAGCCAAGTTCGCCTTTCTTGAAAATCCAGCCATCGCCAATCGGCTGGTAATTTATTCTCATCTCACATCGTCGTTTCCAAAAAAAAATCATTCATGTGTTACCTGACGCGGTAGGTGTTGTTCTTTTACGCACCTGGCCGAATTCGCGGAACTCCGGAACCACCAATTACACACACACAGCTATCAATCCAGACAAAGCGACGCTTGCTACACGTATTTACGGGAAATTAATTACACTACAATAGATCACAATTACTACTGGGGCGTCCACCGCTACCCCCCACTGATGCTTGACCGTGACAAAATTAACACTCTCCTCCAACTGCTATCCCTTTTTTCATTTGTTCTTTTCCCGCACCGACCACTGATCGAAAAGAAAAATCTTACGAAACACACCACACACTGACTGGAAAATATAATGCCTATGACGAGCAGAAAACTCAACTCTGTGTGACCGCCCGACACACACGACGCAGAGAGACGAGATATGGCTTAAAGGAACTTCTTTTTGCCACTTTTTTTTTTCGCGTTCTTCAATGGCTGTTGTGCGGTCTGCTCTCAGTAGTGTGAAACGAATTTTCCTCGACGCGCGCGCGACGCCAAACGCTTTGTGCTGTAGTTTTTCCGCGTGTTGCCACCGAGACCGGAGAGAGAAGACTAAACATACAGTCGGTTTGCGAAATTCTGCCTCGTCCATGGCAGGGAAGTCCTTCGTTCGCTCTATACCTACCTACATACCGACAACACAACATGCTACACAAATCCCATAACAAAAACAGTACCAAGGGTGAAGCGGTTTATGTGTTTTTATGCGAGAGTTTTCCTCTCTCTCTCTCTTTGAGTCTAATGCTTTGCTCTCATACCTGGCTGGCAGTGAGTTTTCCACGGACGGTCGGTGGGATGCACGCATACATTGAAACCGGTGGGTGGTGGCGATAGGGTGGACCGTGAACAACAAATAGTGTAGAACACGCTATGCTAAGACACATTTTCGGGGTTTGAGCTATAGCACAGAACAGAAGTGGAAGTGTTCTTCTTACTTTGTTCATCACGCGATGCTTGTGGATGCTCTTCACACTGGTTTTATTTGGACACTTAGGGGGATTAGGGGCATAATGAACACACGGGGCGAAATGGACACCCAAATCTTTTAAATTTAAACGGAAATGTAAGTTGTTAATCATTTTAATCACTATCAAACATATAATTTTTCAATAGAACAGTTGATATCCTCTTTTAACCACCGAAATATATGAAAAATTTGAAATCATAACCCAAGGGTTTGAAATATTATAATTTCTAACCAGAGCAAAATAAGGTTTTACGAACGTTTCAGAATATTTATTATCAATTACCTATTTGTCCCAAACACGTTCTTTGTATCGCTGCTGAAAGTTGACATTAATCACAATATTGTTTTTTGCAATAATTTATCGGATCAATACTGACAAGTGCACTTTCCGTACACACTTAGAAAATATCTCCGACTTCGGTAATTTTTTTTACTGAAACTATTCGGTAACAGCAAAAATAACAATTCTTTCGGTAGTTTTATCAAATTTTACCGAAAAACCTTAAAAAATAGGCATAATGTTGTGGTAATCTTTTGCTTTACCGAAATTCGTCTAAAATTCACCGAAAATATTGTAAAATTTTTCAATTGCCGTACACTGTAATTTTTTAACCGAAATATTGTAAATTAGGACAACGTTTTACCGAACTATCCGTAACTCAGCTTTACCTTGTCAGCCATTTTTATTCTCATATTTCACGTCAACTGCTGCTTCGAGAAGTTCTTTTTTAAATAAAAGGGAAAAAAAACAGTGAAAAAACCATGGAAGCGGTATTTAATGATCTGCATCAGCTGGATGAACGTCTGGTACACATTTTCCGTAAGTAATACACTTGCATTTGTCTAAAAGTTCTTCCTTTAAGATTGCAATTAAATGTTTTCTGTGCGAGGCTGAAGTTCCAAATTACGTTTCCGGTTTGCAGCGTCACATCACTGAACATATCCGGAAAAATGAACTCAATCCTTCTCAGGTGTATTTTGATTGCACTTTTAATCATTGCGGCTCCCGTTACGGAAGCTTGTATGCGCTTAAACGGCATATTTTAGAAAAACATCCAGCTTGCACTCGCCAAAAGTCTCAGAGCCAAGAACCTCAAATTCAAAACAATATGAATCATTCAATCTTGCCACAGATGCAAACAATGAAGATTTGGATCGAAACATCTCGCTCAATGAAATTAAAAGGATAATTAACATCAGCATTTGCAAAATAACGTACGATGTTGGACTCCCACAGTCTCAAATATCAGAATTTACAAAAACGTGTGAAGCAGTTGTAAAGAATGTAACGGAGTACTTAGAGGCAACTACTCTGAAGTTTTTGAACTCCCAAAATTTGTTTCTCAATTCAGAACAAACTGTTTCCTTGCGTAACTTGTTTCAACTAAATCAACTGTTTGATCAGGTTAACACTTTTCAAAAACAGAAAAAGTTTCTGGATGAATTATCAGTATCAGCTCCGGTTTCAAGGGATATTTTGTTGAACCGTCGAGAAGATGTTTGCCACATCAATTCTGTGCCTAAAAAAGTCCTGGTAAACGAAACTGCATCATATATCAGCCTGATAGATACTTTAAAGCTGATTTTTCGGAATCCGGAGAATCGGAAGCATCTGGAAGAGGCTTTTTTGTCGTCCGAGAGCATTCCATGTGTAACCGAATACAGCTCTTTCCGCTCCGGCGAAACGTTCAAAACCAACGAATATTTTCAAAAATTCCCTAATTGCGTTCGTTTAAGTATCTATCAAGATGACGTTGAACTTGGCAACGCTTTGAGCTCAAGAGCGGGGATTAATAAAGTTTCGAACTTTAGCTTCAAAATCCAGAATTTTCCAGAAAAGTGGAATAGCTCCACAAGGACGGTATTCCCACTAGTGCATTGCACGAGCATCGATGTGAAGAAAAACGGATATGCCAGAATCCTCGAACCATTGATTTCCGATTTAAAGGCACTAGAAGAAGGAATCGAAGTTTATTATGGAACCGAAAAATTTATGCTGAGAGCAGTTATGACCATATTTTGCGGTGATACGTTGGCAGTTCACGACGTCTTCGGCTTACTTAGCCCAAGTGCTAATTTATTTTGCAGAATATGCCAAATAACCAGAAAAAAGTTTCATGAAGATCCATTTTCAGAGCATGCCCTCAAAGATAAAGACTGGTATGACCAACATCTTTCTTTGGTGCAGAATGGATCAATAACTCCTAAAGAATGTGGGTTAAAATGTTCAGGATCTGTTTTTAACGATTTACAATATTTCCATATTACTGATAACTTTGCTCTGGATGGAATGCATGATTTAGCGGAAGGAGTAATTCCTCTGACGATCCAACTGGTTTTATATCATTATCACAAAGAGAAAAATTCAAACATTACTGCAAAATTCATCAACAATCGGATCAATACGTTTATTGAAATGATCTCGCACCCTACGAAGCACAAGTTAAGGCAAACCTCAGCGCAGACACTTCTGCTTCTTCGTGCACTACCCTTTCTGATTTGCCAGGAAGTCCCAGAGGAATGTTAATACATGCAGCTAATAGGCCATTTGATCAATATTGTGAGAATAATAATGTCCCCCGTTGTATCAGATAATTTATTATGTCAGCTCGAAGAACATGTCAAATTTTTCGAACAAATATTTTATTCAAAATTTGACAAACGTATTAATAAGCTACACCATTTGCGACATTATACTACATGTATACGAAAGAGCGGATCGATGAAGCAGTATAATTCGAACAGACCAATAAAATCGGAAAAACTCAAGCAGCTACTTGCAAAAATTTTAGAAATATTTGTTCAAGTCTTGGGAAAAGGCAATGTTTCCGAATGATAATTAACATTTTAGATAATCCTTTTTGTGACAAGTTGAACTATATTTCGGCAAAACTTGTAAAACGTGAAGAATGTCTCAGTTACCTTTATCTGGAAGAAGCTATTGAAATAGTTTTACTACCGAAAGCAGTGATCATTAATGGCATCCAGCTTCGAGCGAACCTAATTGTTGGGTTAAAAAAACATTCAAACCCATTATTTCCTTCTTATGCCATAATTCGTGAACTTGTGGTTGTTGAGAAACAAGTTTATGTTCTATTACGACACTGCTCTACAACATGGTACAACGAGTTCTTTCAAGCTTATGAAGTCGATGTCACAAGTAATGATGAACTTGTATGTATAGAAAACTACTTCATACACACGACGTACTCATTTTGGTCAACAACACAAGACTCCAAGAAATACATTTCGAGACGGTTTTATAACCAAGATTACTAGGTAGATTGTTGAGCCTTTTCATTCCTTATTACGGCAACAATATTGTAGGTCTAATCGTCTAATTAATTAGAAAAAGAAGAAATCGACGATTTGGAGATATTTCTGGCATTGAACGAGCGCGATTCTGCCAGAATGAGCATGACAACGAAAATGATCAAAATAATTGAAAAAATTCAAACGCAGCACAAGTGTAATGAGACTAACATTACTCACGATATTATTGAAGATGTTTCCACGGTTTCCACCGAGGAAGTTTATCAAGTTGAAGCGATTATTGATCCAAACGATCCTTATCACGGCATTAACCTCGAACAGGTAAGCTCTTATTTGACCTTGGAATGATGATGATACAAACGTAATCTTTGAACAGATCATAAACATCGACCGGATTTTTGAAAGAACTCCAAATGGAGCTGCTATTCAAGAACTATTGCGAGAAGAGACATGCATCAACGAAAAGGTTTACAAGCTCATATCGAATATACTCTGCGAATGTTTAAAATCACTATACGGATGGTGAGTTTGCATTGTTCTCTGTACTTTTTATCCAACAAAGATGAATTCACTTTATTTTATTTTTTTATAGCCGACCGACAAACTTCCATAAAAATCAAATCGCTGCCTCACTCGTCAAAACCTATCCTATCCTGGCGGCCTCTAATTGTGACGTTCCGCAGGTGAACACTGCACTGGTTTTGGCTGCATATCAACATTTTCATGCATACATTTATTTTAGGCACTTTGGTTCCATGCACATGCTCGCAGAATAAATCGACATGCTGGTCGAATTCACTATCGCATGGAATATTTGGCGAGGAAATCAGACGAACGAGTTATCAAACGGCGTCGGATTGAGCAACCAAAGGTTAATCATCAGGAAGAGAATGCTTCTGCAGTCGAAGAGCCTTGCCTTCAAGATATCAAATTGCTGGTAGACCTGAAAATCTGTTTATTTCGGGTTAGTTGGAAATTTATTTTTACGTTTTTTTTTTTCATCAGATTCAGGAGTTGAAATTTATTGTCCCAAATCGAGCAAACAAGTTCCGTGTGGTGGAGTTATGGAAAGCGACATTCAACGATCGTGAAGCTTCTCGTTCTGAAGACGGCGAAAACACATTCAGCAACTATTTGAAAGACTTTCCTGCTTACAATGGAAAACTGGTAAGAATATAGTCATCTTTTAAAGGCACAGTTAGTTTGGATGTCGTTACAGTAATTTGAATTTATATCAGTTGACAAACTTTACCTTAAGATAAGTGTGTTAAGTGATAGGTCACGTCACG